GGAGATTTCAGAACATTGATTAAAATAGCAAGAACATACAAAGTTGTTGCTACTACATCGACTGAGGATTTAGGTTGGGGCAGTAATAATCTTTTTTTTATTTGTTTTTCATTTAAGCTTGAAAAGTATCTCACTTCTGCTGTAGCATGGGGCTCTCAGTGTGTGATGAACTTTAACTCAGACAAAACTCAATTTCTTTTAAGAACTATTATCACAACAATCTAGATCTTCCTATTTTTATGAATGGTAATGTACTTGATAAAACATCTACCTTTTGTCTTCTAGGATTAACTCTTATTTCCGATTTTTCTTGGAAACTATATATCAAACCTATTGCAAAATTATCTCTTTATCATGCTCGCCATTTTCTTACTCCGGATTCTATTCTTAATCTCTACAAATCTCAAATCTGTCCTTGTTTAGAATATTGTTGCCACATCTGGAGCCAGGGTTGCAAAAAAACTGTTTTTTTTGAAAAAAACAAAAAAAACCATGGTTTTTTTGGTTTAAACTAGGTTTTTACTAAAAAATGCGGCATTTAGTTATCCTTTTAAATAAAAAAAAGCATAAAATATTTTATTTGAGTAAACTATATTCTTTATCAATATTATTGTTATATTTTATCAAAATTATTTAATATATCATTGTTTAATGTTCTATATATAAATACAAGCTTTGCTGCTTTTTGTACCCCCAATTGGTACAAAAAGCAGCAAAGGTTGGTTTCTTAACTTAGAATGAACAAGATCAAAAGTTAAAAAAACTCTTTCGATTCCAGCACTAGAAGCTTGAATACCCATTATGTTATAGTAGATTTGGCTTTTAATTTGAATAATATTGGTAACAAATTCTTGAACTTTTTATCTGCGAAATTCATGGCAGCTTCATTTTCATTTTCAGAACGATTAGATCCAAAATATCTAGGATCTAGTGTGTTTGCCAGGAAATGAGCATCCCTGGCAGTCTGAAGGTATCTAGATTTAATTTTTTGTTTTGTTTTGTTTGATAAAAATGATAAACTGTTCATCAAATCTTTAAAAATTTCAAGTGTCACTTATTTTTGTTTGATCTCTTTGCAACTTATCTAGAGCTACTGCAATTGGTTTTAATATTTTCAATAAATCTTCTGTGTTTTGCTTTATCTGTATATCATTTACTTTTTTACCAATCATGGGATCCAAGTCCTTATTTTTTTCAAACATTGTGAAAATGATGCTCCAGTTGTTGACGTATTTTTCAAGTGAATCACATACAGAATTCCAGCGAGTTTCAGTAGGAAGTGGGAATTTTGTTCCTCCACTTAATTTATAAATTCCTCCAGCTTGATGATTATTTCTTATATATTTTATCATTTGTGTAACATGCTTGCTCACATTTTCAATGTTAAGATCATTTGCTAAAAGATTCAGCATATGAGCAGCACACCCATAAGTTATGATAATATCTCTTTCAGATGACAATACTTGTCTCAATGATTTCATATTAGCTGCATTGTCAGTCACAAAGCTTTTTACTGTGCATCCAAATTTAAGTCTTACAAAATCTATTGCTTCTCTTGCTAATTGTGTAAGATATTCACCAGTATGTGAATGGCCAGAGGTGTTGATTGTTTCTACTAAAATGTTAATTTTATCTGTAATTACAGAGATACAAACTATAGGTTCATTATGTACATTACTCCAGCCATCTTAAGACATGGCTACAATTTTCCCATTCAATACATTACATTTTTCAATTTCTTCTGTGTAAACCCTATCTAATATTTCTCCTCCAATTTGAGTTCTATTAGGTAGAGTGTATCCTGGATGAAGCATATTAATAAATTTAAAAAAAAAACAAAAACTAAAACCATGGATTTAAAAAAATATATCTATATTGAAGATTAGTTATATTTGTGAATATAACCCTGTTTTAGTTTCCTGTTGTAAGTTCAAATCTTTTAAAATAAAACATTAGTTTGGTTTAATCCAACATTTTTTTAATTGGTTTTAAACCATTTGGTTAAAACCATGAAACCCTGTCTAGAGCAGATCTTCAAATGATGCCCTTTCTCTTTTAGACAAGGTGCAAAAATGAATTGTAAGCAGTTAGACCTGCACTTGCAAACATTATCATATTGTCGCAAAGTTGCTTCTCTTTCTCTTTTCTATAAATACTGCTCTAAAGAGCTAGTGTCTCTTGGGCCATCAACTAAAATTTATTCTTGTGTTACTTGTCATTCAATTAAGTCTCATCCTTTTACTGTGACTTTTTCAAAGTGCTTCAAAAATTCTTATTCATCTTTGAAATTTGCTCATTTTATATTGTTTTCCTGATTTATATAATTTGCAATTTTTCAAGTTGTCTGTTAATTGTTATTTTGCTTTATAAACTTCGCCCTTTTTCTTCCAGTAACTTACAACTCAATTAGTCGTTGCTTGCAGCCTTTTTGGAAAAAAAGGAAGTATTACATAATTACACAATAATAATAAAAATAAAGCAAAAAAATGTTTATTCATTGTTACATTTTTTGGGCGTCTTTAAGGTAAAAAAAAGTTTGTAATTTTAAGAATGTTTTGATATTTATAAAAAAATTCTTAAAACTTTTTAAATCTTTTTTTAAAGAACTACATTTAAAAACATATTTAAAAAACTGTAAAAAAAACAACAACAACAATGAAATAAAGAGCTATATTATTTTTTTAAAGGCTATTTAAATTTCATATTTTTAAATAAAAACATAGTTTATAGTTGCCTTTTTAACTTGATACCTAAAATACAACGTAATTAAAATGAAAATAATACATATATGCTTATTTAGAACTTAAATTAAACCTTTTATAACAAACAGATAGTTTACTTTAATTTGAATTACCGAATGCAAATTTGAAATAAATGACACAAAAATAATTTTAAAAGTATCAAACTCATTAAAATTTTAATAAAAATAATTTTCTCGTAATTACCTGTTCTCACTTTGAACTATTTCAGTGAGATTTTTGAACTTTTAAAATTAGAAAATAAAAAGTTTCACAAAAAAGAATTTTTTAAATATAAAAATAGGAACAAATGTGACAGCCAGCAAAAATAAATACCGCCAACTGTCTTAGACAGGCGATTTAACTGCTCCTACACTCATATATATATATATATATATATATATATATATATATATATATATATATATATATATATATATATATATATAATATACATATATATATATATATATATATATATATATATACATATAAATACATATCATATATATACATATATATATATATATATATATATATATATATATATATATAGTATGTATATATATATATATATATATATA